TTTATAGCGTCGATAAGAAACTAATACATTTACCAAGCTCCTAAAGAAAGAAAAAGAAATAGGGGGAACCCCTTCTATCATTTTTATTTTGGAGGGAGTGTTTGATTAATAAAACGGCTACATGGCTCCTCCTTCCCATCCCAACCCCAAACAGGCCTTAGCCTGAGCACTTCTTCCTCAGTTGCTACTCATTTAATAGCAGAAAATAGAGGGTGAGAAATTTCCTTACTCACCCAAATATCTTGAAAAATTCCACGATGGAAAATTTCTTGACAAAACATCTCAGAAAAAGTACAGTTTTAGAGAGGTAAGAATGCATAACAAACTGGATAAGTACAGATATTACACTTACTAGAACATATGCAAACTACTGAAGTTTTATAAATAAATCAGGCTTCCTTGAATGTTATCTTAATTTCTAGGATTTCTTGGATTCATCTTTGCTTACCTTGGTTCATACAGAAGTTTTCAAAACAGGAAAAACGAAGAGAGATGGATTCATTTCGCTTCTCTTTCTCATACCTCTACCATATTACCAGGTTATTTCTCATGTGGGATATATATTTTACTACTTACTTTGGACTGAATCAGGCGATTCGATTGAAGTCCAAATCAACCACATTTCAACAAATAAGTTTATTTAGCTATTTTAAATCAAAACTTGGAAAATATTTTCTTCCTCATTAAAACTTCAAGAACAAACCCATGCTGTCAGAGATATTTATTCTTCAAACTCTATTTCTTTTTATTTTAGAATTTATCACTAAATAAAGACTCCTTCTTAGCATCTTATCCACTTACATTAGTGGTGCTGCAAATGAGGAAGGATAAAATATAAATGCCACATGGTTTCGATTGTCTATTAATGCTGGGCTTCATGTCCCAAAAAACATATTGTGAAGAAAAGAGAGTCTCAAATTCTCTAGGGTCTGATATTTCTGCAATAATCTCAACAAGGCAGATGTTTCTTTAGGTTCAGTGAAAGTGCTCACAAAACGTAAAGAAAATTCCTGCAAAATTCAAATTTGCATAAGATCTGAAATATGAAAATCTGAATCGCAGAATTCAAGAACTTGCAGGAAAACCTGGGAGGTTGTTATTTCATCTTATCCTGGTAAGTTTCTCTTTTCAAATGAGAATTGACCCCAGTGTAAAATACAGCCTGAGGTGTAGAAAGTTCACACAAGAGAGTATTCACGCTAAAAACTTGCAAATAAAAAAGGACTATGCAGCAAGCTGGCAGTGAGATGAGAAACAGCCTCTCAGAGGAAGGTCAAGAGATGATGTGGAGTAAAAGCCTCCAGGGAACTGTCACTCTCTGAAAAGAAAAATGACAAAAGGGACAAATTTCAGAGAGTCTGAGAACAAAGGACAGAGGTTGAAAAACGGGATAGAACCAACCTGCCTTCTTCCTCTGAGACACCATTCAAGGTTATTTCCCTCAAATTTTAGTTCTCCCCTGAAGAAAAAAAGAGGAAATCCTTGTCCCAGATTATTGCTAACCAGGAACAGGTGCCTCCTGACAGAGGTGAGGGTGAGAGCACAGAGGTCTGGGTTCTCTGAGCTGGCAGCCCGTGGCCCCCGCCTTATCGCTCAAGCTCCTTGAGGACTTTTCTTCAATATTAAACACATACCGAAGTACCTCATCATGATCTCCTGAGCAATAATGAGAAAGATTAAATCCACAAACTCAACACACAGATATAGGCACACATACGCAGAGACACATACTCATGCAGGCACTCACACACAAATGCACAATAAAGAGTAATTAAGCCATTTCTCAATTGGTGGCAACTTTTGCCATGTCACCGTCAGAGAATCTTTCTCTCTTCTTTCCTTCCCATCATTTTGTTTTGCCCCGCTCCATTTTCCTCTTTGCTTAGCTAGCTTTAAAGGTA